AATTATTAAATTTATGAACACCTGTTATGATGCATATGAAAAACGGAAATTCTGTGCTGCATTGTTGGATCTGTGATGCGCTTTTGACAGTGTGCTATTGCATAAACTGCGATATTTTTTCCGATTTGATCAGGACAGTGTTGACTTAATCAGATCATATCTGTCGGGCAGATCCCAACAGGTTAAGTGTGAGAATAAAATGTCTGAGCGACTTCGTGTCACAAGAGGCGTCCCTCGGGGATCAATATTGGGACCCCTCTTGTTTGTTCTTTTCTTTAACGATTTTCCAGAGTATTTGGATGATAATGTAAACTGTTTGTTGTATGCGGATGACGCGACTCTGCTGGTAACGGGTGTTGAGTTTGAGGAAGTGATATCCTCCATAGATCGACTGCTGACCGCGACAAACGAATGGTGTATTGCCAATGAATTGTGTTTAAATAAAGACAAAACGGTCCAATCATTGTTCAGTCTTAGACAAAAGTATATAAATTTAAATGAGCTATCCTCTACTAAATTACTGGGGATAACAGAGAGTCCTCCCGACTTGAATTTTTAGGCTCATACGGTAGTGATTGTTAAGAAAATTGCCCGAAACGTATTTCTACTACGCAGATTGGTGAATTCTGTGTCGGCTGAGGTGGCCAGAACCTCTTATCACTCAATATTGAATTATTGTATCATTGCTTGGGGTGGTAGTCCAGCTAGTAACCATATATTTGGCTTGCAGCGCAAAGCGGTGGGGATCATTGCTAAACTTAACTATACAGATGACTGCCGACACGTTTTCAGACAACTTGATATTTTGACACTACCATGTTTGTTTATACTTGAGTGTCTTCTGTACTGTTACGATAATAAAGACAAATACAGCACGCATGCCGACGTGCATGGTTATGGGACCAGAAACCGTGTAAACATTTACGTTGATTTTTGTCGACTGAGTAGAACAAAAAAAAGTCATATATATTGCACAAATCTTATTTAATAAATTGCCTATGGGCAATAGATTTTTGCAAAAAAATAATTTTAAAAATATCATATGTTGAGGAATATCTGAAAGACAGGATTGTAATTGAGACTTGATTGTTGATTTACTTATTGTATTAAATTATATATGACGAGTATAAGCCCTGGCTTATAACACAATAAAACTTATTATTATTATTTACGACAATTGCTGTTTATTGAACATGAAGAAGATGGAAAAATATCTGCAACATATGATGAATCCCTCAAAAAAATTTTTAAAAAATACTGTCGAAAAGTAATTTATTAAACTAATGTAGACTACAATGCAGGTTTTCACAGCCCTTTTCAAGACCCGTAAAATGAACTGAAGTGATCTACGAAATATTCATAATTATAAAAATTCTGAATTGGAGTGAAGGTAGCAACGACTTTTCAGCGACGGATTTTGTCAATTCCACCACGGTCGCAAATCCGTCGCTAAGATTAAAACGCACAGTGACATGGATTGAACACAGAAAATATGATCATGTTGTGTTAAGTGAATGTTACGAAGGTCAGTTCCTGCTGTTTATCCCAGAATTCCAGAACAAATTTTGAAACTGCTAATAAAATAGGGTAAAAACGTCTCGGCTTTAAAAAGAAATAAAACCATCCTCTTAGCTGTGAGTTGCAGGGTGGAAATTTGTTGTGAATATAGATCAACATCCCTAAGTTGATTTTCGTTAAAATTAAAGTGCTACACATAAAGGGGGATCAATCCCTAATAAAAGAAGGTGTAATTCGCTCTGTTAGGTGAAAAAAATAATAAAAATCCACACCTTAGCCGTGAGTTGCTGAGTTGAAATTTGGTGTGGATATAGCTTCGACATCCCTAAGTTGATTTTCGTTAGAATTAGAGTGTTACAAATGGAGTGGTGCCAACCCCTCATAAAAATAGGTGAAATTCGATATGTTAGGTGAAAAAAAAAGAAAATCCACCCCTTATCCGTGAGTTGCTGAGTTGAAATTTGGTGTGGATATGGCTTCGATATCCCTAAGCTGATTTTCGTTACAATTAGAATGCTACACATGAAGGGGTCTCAACCCCTCATAAAAATATGTGAAATTCGCTTTGTTAGGTGAAAAAAAAATAAAGTCCACTCCTTAGCCGTGAGTTGTTGAGTTGAAATTTGGTGTGGATAGAGCTTCGACATCCCTAAGTTGATTTTCTTTAAAATTAGAGAGCTACACATGAAGGGGTGTCAACCCCTAATAAAAATAGGTGAAATTCGCTATGTTAGGTGAAAAAAATAATAAAAATCCACTCCTTAGCCGTGAGTTGCTGAGTTGAAATTTGGTGTGGATATAGCTTCGACATCCCTAAGTTGATTATCGTTAAAATTAGAGTGCTATACATGAAGGGGTGTCAACCCCTAATAAAAATATGTGAAATTCGCTTTGTTAGGTGAAAAAAAAATAATGTCCACTCCTTAGCCGTGAGTTGCTGAGTTGAAATTTGGTGTGGATATAGCTTCAGCATCCCTAAGTTGATTGTCGTTACAATTAGAGTACTACACATGAGGGGGTGTCAACCCCTAATAAAGATAGTTAAAATTTGTTATGTTAGGTGAAAAAAAGAGTAAAATCCACACATTAGCCGTGAGTTGCTGAGTTCAAATTTGGTGTGGATATAGCTTCGACATCCCTAAGTTGATTTTTTTTAAATTAGAGAGCTATTCATGAAGGGATGTCAACCCCTAATAAAAATATGTGATATTCGCTATGTTAGGTGAAAAAAAAATAAAATCCACACATTAGCCGTGAGTTGCTGAGTTCAAATTTGGTGTGAATATAGCTTCGACATCTCTAAGTTGAATTTCTTTAAAATTAGAGAGCTACACATGAAGGGGTGTCAACCCCTAATAAAAATAGGTGAAATTCGCTATGTTAGGTGAAAAAAAATTAAATCCACTCCTTAGCCGTGAGTTGCTGAGTTGAAATTTGGTGTGGATATAGCTTCGACATTCCTAAGTTGATTATCGTTAAAATTAGAATGCTACACATGAAGGGGTGTCAACCCCTAATAAAAATAGGTGAGATTCGCTATGTTAGGTGAAAAAAAGAATAAAATCCACACAATAGCCGTGACTTGCTGAGTTCAAATTTGGTGTGGATATAGCTTCGACATCCCTAAGTTGATTTTCTTTAAAATTAGAGAGCAACACATGAAGGGGTGTCAACCCCTAATAAAAATAAGTGAAATTCGCTGTGTTATATGGAAAAAAAATATAATATATAAACCACATGAATGAAAATTATAACAGCCAAAATGACAATAGACGAGAAGCCAACAAATATTTTAAAAAACTTTTAAAATTTGCAAGATTTAATGAAGATGAATGGAGAATGACAATACAAGATCATTATCACCAAAGCAATGGTTATGACTATTCATAATCTAATACTTCAATCAAATCGTCAAAGAAAAGTCATGTATTGAAAAAATAGATTTTAAAAATTATAGATGTTCTCTTCAGGAAACAATTTTACAATATTCTGTGGACATGAACAAATATTGTTTTCTTATTTGCTATATCCACAAAAAATTTCAACTCAGCAATTCACGGCTAAGGGGTGGATTTTTATTACTTTTTTCACCTAACATAGCGAATTCCACCTATTTTTATTAGGGGTTGACGACCCTTCATGTGTAGCACTCTAATTTTAACGAAAATTAACTTAGGGATGTCGAAGCTATATTCACACCAAATTTCAACCCTGCAACTCACGGCTAAGGGGATGGTTTTATTTCTTTTTAAAGTCGAGACGTTTTTACCCTATTTTATTAGCAGTTTCCAAATTTATTCTGGAATTCTGGGGTAAACAGCAGGTGGTGACCTTCGTAACATTCACTTAACACAACATGATCATATTTTCTATGTTCAATCCGCTTCACTGTCCGTTTTAATCTTAGCGACGGATTTGCGACCGTGGTGGAATTGACAAAATCCGTCGCTGAAAAGTCGTCGCTAACTTCACTCCAATAAATTCTGAGGCATTATTCTTAAGGGGGGCATTCCTCTAGTTTTTAAAATGAAGCTTAATTAATAACGATTTTCATGTACTGTCATTTACACTGTCTATCATCGAGTTACATAGTAAAGCTTAGTAAATATTTTAACCCATAAGAAAAATTGATATATTTTGGTACTTTATATCTTAAACTAAAGTATAATTAATAGGAATTTCAACGTAATGTGCATTGTTCCTACCCTGTATCTAGAACGATTATAATGAGATTTCTCATTATCGTTTTAAATTGAGAAAACTGTAATGGATAATACTCCTACCGGGAAAATCGGATTACTCAGAGGAGTTTCAATCGCTTGAAATCCTTTTGTACCTTTTACATAAATTGAGACAGTTTCACGTATAATATCTAAGGTTGAGATTAACAAGGAATAAATTTACTTACGTATCTAACTTCTTGATTATGTATTTTTTTCATAGAATTTGCGAGTTAGTATCTGCGTTTTATATTGCAAAAATAATCCGGAAAGAATTTTTCAAGATACAACGAATAATTTTTTCAATTTAAAGTCCATTAAAGAAGCTAATAAGAAATTCATTAAAGTGCCGACATCGCCAAGTATAAAATTAATCAAAAGTAAGAAGCAAAAGGGACTTTCGTTTGAATTGAAAAGAGAAATAAATTTCTTATAATTAAGAAATAGATTAAAACTAGAGTAAAATCAAACCGGATACTTTTAAATGGCGAATAACAAGAATAGAAACTACAATAAGTAAGTGATAGGAAGCGACAATGACTTCTAGGAGCCAAAGGAAAGTGATTGCTACACACTCTCCATTAAATTGGTTCTAGGATCGTTGAACACGAATACACGAGACGGTATCGATTTCAAAAGCGACAATTTTATTAAAAATAAATCCAGAAGGAAACGCTGTTTATCAAAACTAAACAAAGGACTATATCGAGATTTTAAGTGATTTGATGTAAAGGTTATTAAAAAAAGTTGTTTGTTACTTACTTCTACTTCGTACCCTTCTCGAACATTAAATGTTAAATCGTGTTGAATATCGTTGGCGAATTCTTGTTGATACTCCGGATAAAGACGTAGAACTTCTATTAGTCCTGGTACGTGGATACACTTTAAATCGCAATAAGTAAGGGCGCGAACATCGCTGCTTGATTTTATTACGTGATCTGTTGGCACAGAACCCGTCCCAACAGATGGCCCGTTTGATGGGTGTTGAAGGTGCATATTGATATCGCTACCAACCAAATCACCTTTTCCTGTTAAACAAAAAAATCATCAAAATTATAAAGAAATAAAGCTTAAAATAAAGTTGACATGAAGTTGAATAACTACTTTTTTTAATGTCTTTAATGATGATACTTCGTACTCTCGAAATCTCGTCATCCATGCGAATAAAGTTTCCAGACGAATTATTCAACTAGCATCGTTGAAAAAAATTAAAGTTTTAAAGGGTCGAAACGATCGTCCATGCGTAACTGAAGCTAAAACTACGATTGAATGGAACGGGAAAATATAAAACTGAAGTTATCAAAAATTCATGGCTTTGATGCGAAAAGCTTGTTCTTTCGTAAACGTTCCCAAAAACAAAATAAAAATTTTGTTAGAACACCATTAAAATGAAAGACAGCCTTTAAAAACACATTATTTAAATTTTAATTTATTCAGACTTACCTAAAATGGCAACAACCATATTATTTTGAACAACTTCCATAGATCCATTACATATGTAATAAATATAACTTAGAGCGTCGCCTTTATGGATGAGATATTCGCCAGGTGCGCAAAAATTCGTTCTTATGTGAAGTGAGAGTAACTTCAAACATCCTTGAGAGGCCCCTTCAAAAATTGGTAGTGATAAAATTTCTCGATGCAGATGCATGGAAACGTCGCCGCGTAGTTCTTCAGGAAATTCCCTCAAAGTCTAAAAAAAATACCCATTATTTGATATTAAATTGACATTATTTAAGTTCTTTGAAAATATTCGTAGTTTTAGAAATGCGAACAAAGATAGAATCCGTCATTAACGTTTCATGTCAGAATTACATTTTCAAGAGATCACAAATCCCAGTTGTATCCCAATTTACGTGTTCTCGCAAAAGCTTTGGAATTGGACAAGGATTTCATCGCTCTCCAAGCAGTTTTAGTTTTTTTAATGAAATGAAAACCACAACGTCGAGTGGCGAATGTAAAATTTCGCAATAACGCTGTCCGAAATGATATATTTCGAATATTTTCCATTATTCTGAATAATTGGATTTTTTTTAATAGGAAAAAATAAATTAAAAGTGCAAAATAGCGGATGAAATGAATCCTTCTTTTCAATGTTTATAATTATGTTTTATTGTTGAGTTACGTAATTATAACACTTTCATTAGTTTTAATTACAATGTCGCACTTAAAGCTTTTATATTTGGCTAATCCACTACTTTATGCTAAGTAATCCTTTCAGATAACCACCGCTGGAAGTAGGTAAATAAACAAAGCTATAAAAGCGACTCTTTGATGGAATCTCGGAGTATTTTACCGTATTAAGCTCGAAGTAGGGGAAAATTTGCCAAACTTGTGTAGTAGAGAAACTACTGAAACCTAAGTTATTACTTCTAATGTGAACTAGCTCACTAAATATAAGTCATACTTAAGAGTTTTGCCTGACTACAATTTTGTAAAACATCAATATTTGGTTCAAACAAAAGTAAATAAGAAAAAATAATAAAAATAAAATTGTAAAAATGTCCTAAAATTTATTTCAAAACCAATTAAGTCCAGAAAATTTGTATCCGTTGTGTTAATCCATATGATAGTTTAATCAAAGTTACCTAAAGAGTTAGTAGTAATATAAAAAAAACTCTTTTTTAAAGATCAAATACAAAGACGTGTCGCCTCGTTAAAAGTTTGTATTAGAATGATTTTGAAATGTTTTTACATCAACTATCAAAAAATGGTAACATAGCATTTTAGGTAATTTGATAAAAGTTAGTGTGTACGCTGTAGCGTACACATTAACTTACGCAGTACTGTAGTACTCTTCCTTTCATAAGAAAACCAAACGTAAAAAGCAACATTAAAAGTACGAAAATTAAAGATAAATTAGCAAGAAAAGTTAAAGTGAACTTTGAATTGTTTTTTGGTAGAAAACGCGACGTTACTATGGCAGTTATTTAACTTGTCATTAAGTAAAAATGCGGGTTTTAAACGATTTATATTTATAGGTAAGTCTTTATTATTTTTTGAAATTACTAATTTCGTTCAAAGCCTTTTAAGAACTTTAAAAGGGCCTTCGTAACGAGGGGTAAGTGAAGGTTGCATGCCTTCAATTTTGACAAAAACATAATCAGACTTGAAAAGATCTTTGTGAAGAAAAGGTTTGTCTCGTGAATAAAATGACGTTTCAGTTGGGTGTAGGTTCGAAAATGTCTCACGCAAATTCTGCAAAATGGGTTCCGTCTCTAACGAACGTTGTGACTTAATGAAGAATTCGCCAGGTAATTGGAGAGGTTGGCTGTAAACAAGTTCGCAGAGGAACAGCCAAGGTCTTCCTTAAGAGAAGATCTCAGGCCTAAAAGAACGACGGGAAGATCGTCGTACCAGTTGCTCTTGCTACTTCTAGCAATTAAGGTGGTTTTCAGAGTTCGATGGAATCTTTCCAAAATGCTTTGCGGATGGAAAGAGAATGTGTGGATCTGGTGCGCACCTAAAATTTTGTTAAACTTCGAAAATAACGAAGATTCAAACTGTCTACCTTGGTCATGTGTGATGGTGTGAGGTATTCTGAACCTAGAGAAATAATTCCGAAAGAGAGTGTCGGCTATTGTTGACGCGGCGATGTCTTTGAGCGGAAATGCTTCTGGCCAGCGACTGAAGCGGTCAATTGCATTAAGTAAGTATGTATAGCCTTTAGAAGGTGTAAGGGCGCCAACTAAGTCGATATGAACGTGTTCAAATCTGCCACTTTGTATAGGGATTTTTTGGATAGGTGATTTTGTATCTTTGTTCACTTTGGCTCGTTGGCATGGTAAACATGTCTTTGTCCATAATTGAATATTTTTTTACATATGTGGTCAATAGAAACGGGATTTACGGAAGTTGCACGTATTCCAGAATGTGAAATATTGTGAAATTTGTTAAAAATGATTTTTCTAAATTTGTCTGACACGTAAATTCTTGACAATGGTGAAGATATTTCGTACCAAAGTTTAAAATCTGATTCTTGAATTTTTTGCTGAGATAAATGAAAATTGCGTAAATGTTTGTTGGAAAATTGTTTATTGAATATGTGCGTTAATTGTATATCCTGGTCTTGAGCAATTTTAATAGATTTTAACAAAGCCCTAGAAAGAGTACTTGAACGATTGCATAAAAACAATCTAACAATTAATGTAAAAAAGTGTATTTAACACTGATAAGATTAAATTCTTCGGATACATATTTGCAGCATATTTAATTTGAAACCACCGCAAGATCAACAACTGAGAAGTTTTCCAGGAATGATAATGTACGTAGGAAAATTCCTTCCTAATTTATCAAGCAATACAGTAATAAATTCTGCGGAAATTAATATCAATATCGGGAAAATGGATTTTGACTAACGAATATCAACAATCTTTTCAGTTCCTAAAGAAACAATTAAGTTGTGCTGACAAATTAGCTTATTATGACATGCTCAAACCTACTCATCTGATAGTTGATGCGAGTCCTTGTAGCCTAGGAGCTATTCTTTCCCAAGGCCATAAACACACATCGATTCTACCACAACGTAAGCCAATCAAACTCGGAAACTTCTCAATTTCAAAGTTTAGCGAATCCAATTCATTGTGATTTAAACGTGTCAAGTCAACTAAAAACCAACTTAACCTAACTTTAGTGGTATTTTCCTCGTCCCACATTACACTACAGTCGTTTCGCAAATGTTGAGGCCTTACTTCACACAACACCTATTCCTATCGGTATGATTTTAAATCACACTAATTGATCAATGGATAGACACATAGGAAGTGGTTAGAGACACAGTAGGCGATATAGCCCTGTGATATGATGAGATTCAAGCTTCTCCTTTCTTTCTACATGTGATAGATGGGCACTCACTATTTTTTTCCTATGCTTCTTCGGATGTAGATGTTGGATATACTTTCCAACGTTTTGGTGATCTGCGCAGATTTCTTTTTCCAATAGGATTATTTGCATATTGTTTCCTAACGAACAATTTGTTTCCTTGGTGTAGTGTTTTTTCATGAATACTTCTCACTATTTTCATCTTGTGTGTTTGCATCATTTTCTATGCATTGATTGAGATTGAGATTTGGGATGCTTTCCTTGTTTGTTCTCGAACTTGATTATGTCGATTTCCAGAGCTTTTTCATCAGCTCCTAAATATTTAATCTTAATGGTTGTTTGGATTCTACAAGACATTTGGTTTTGTCAGTGTTAATAATCCTGTTAAATTGTTTTACTGATTGATTAAACGAGTAGAGTAGTCTTTGCAAGTTGTCATCAGTCACTAATAAGTATTTATATAATCTGCATTTTATATAGCTTTCGACCATTTTGTCCATCATGTTAAATATAAATGGACTGAGTGAGTCGTCTTGTATTATTCTGGTGTACTTTCTTTTCTTATCTTGGCTGTTAAAATCGTGGATTACTTTTATCAATTTTTGGATTACTTCCTTTTGTCTCATTATCTCTAAGAGTCGGGTTTATTAAACTTTAACGATTTTTCTGTTATTTCCTTGATTTCGTTGAAAGACCAAGAAGGTTTTTTTGGAAACATTCTTGTTCTTCGCGAATCTGTATAGTTTTATATATTTCTTCTAGGATTGTCTTTGTAAATGCTTTGAGCGTTCTTATTAAGAACGTTATTCTGCGATCATTGTCTTTTTTGGCCCTTTATGGCAATCGAGATTATTATTGTGCTTCCAAAGAGTTTTAATATTCAGTTTCCTCCTGTATATTTCTGCATTTTATTTGTTATATCACTTTGTCCTGGGTGTCTTCCGATTTTTAAGTTGTTAGTTCTATATTTGCTTGTTCTTCGTCTTTCTCACTCAACAACTGATTGCTCTCCTTACTATTTTTGTATAAGTTTCCGAAATATGTCTTCCACTCCTTTGCATTCCTCATATTTTCGTCTGGTTTTCGTACATGTCCCTCATATCTCATATCCCATTTGTTTTGTATCTTATCCTTGTCTTTACTCTCTTTCGTTCTTTTTTGTGTAGTATCCAGTTGTCTTGGTTTTTGTTTCGGAGGTATTTGATGTATGCTTTTTTCTTGTGTTCACATAGCTTGTATTTACGGAGTTAACTTTTTCGTAGCGCAACATTACCCGCATTGGTGATGTTTGTTCTTAGGGTTTTCACTGTGCATCCAAGATGTCTTTTGCATTAATTGCGTTTTATTTTGTTTCTGTTAATTTATTCTCATATAACTCTTTCACAGTTTCGTCTTCCAGATACTCAATAGTGATTAATATTCTATATATCCTCCTTATGGTATTTGGGGATTTTGTATGCAGTGCTAAACATGGGATAAAGATGATAAATTTGAAGTGTATGAAAGCTGTTTAAGGAATAGGATGCTATGGTAAGTTAGGGATATGTTAGGAAGATGGAAAGTAATAGCGGGAAAGTAATGGGGTGTGAGTGTCACAATAAAATAGGATATCGTGGAAAGAGTGATGCCCAAAAGCAAGCTTGGCATTTTTCACAATTGGATTCCTAATAATATTGTAACAACATACAAAAAATAAACGTGAATGTGATATACGATAACAATCTCACTACATATATAAATTTTACGTGTTATACGTTTAAGCAGAAAATCTCTGTTTAATAAACACATGGTGAAAATACTCTCCTTAGTTAACGTTAAATTGTTTGATGTACATATATCAACAATAACATGCCAACTTGTCAACCGTTGTGA